GATTTTAGCAAGATGAACATTTCTTCACCACACACCTCCCTCGAAATGAGGTTCAAGTTGGGATATTTCTCGACGATCAGTTTCGCTTCTGGCCGATGCATCAAGGTTCTGTGAATGGCGGACTTGACTCATTGTACCCAAAGCTTAGTGGCCGTCCTGGAGAGGGTTTGTGGGTTAGCTAGCAACATGACTCTCCATTCTTGAAGAAAGGTTGTTTGGAAAAAACTCGTGAAATGATCGCAGCGGAAACTGATTGGGGATTGCCGCGGGTGAAGACTGTTGTATTGTGCGAACAAGTCGTCGGCCCATCCTCCTGCAACACCGATGAACATGTGTTAAGCCTTCGTCTAAGAGTAAGAATTCATATTTTATGTAATAAAGCAAAAAAAGCATAAAATACAACGTTTTGCCGGTTGCAATGACTTGGCATACACACAATAGACAATAAGACACGTCCAAACAGGATTCAACAATAGACGATGGTAGGTTAGTTTAATTGTTTGTGTAAGAAGCAGCTGCTACCGAATCCACTTCCGGTTCGTAAATTGACTTTATTCATCACCTGCAAGCATCAGAATAAGTTTGCGGTAGTCAACCAAATCATCAAACGGCGACTATGGTTGCAGTCAGCCCTTGCCTCCTGATTTGGTAGATTCTTGTTCTATTTCCCGAATGTGCATTTTTGCTCCGATGATGTTTGTCATGTTCATGTGGGCTGGCGTCAGCCCGATTTGGGCAGTACTACTGACAGGGGAATTATGTTCATGACAGTAGTATGCTGCCTCGGGCCCGATTGAAGGCTTGGCCTCGCGTTGCCGGGACTGGTGTGCTAACCTGGCAACATGGTTTGATGCGCAAACGGGGCAAGAAAGGGCGAATAATGCATGTCCAGACTCGAAAAGACTGGACCATCGTTTGGGTGACTTTCTTGCGCTGTCACCATTTGGGCAGTCTACGTCGATTCTCGTGGTTGTCGCTGCGGCGAGAGGAGGAAGAATCAGGTGTTTTTCTGCAACCACACGCCAAAACAAGCCAAGTATGAATCCCGTCGGCGAACGGCATGCATCCGGTACAGACAATCCGGACTACTTCCGAGGTGCCGGATGCCGTGATCTTCCTCGAAGCTGTACTGATCCATTCCAAATCGTTCTGATCAGTGATACTGGCCTAACTTTGATTTCGTTTGAGAAGGCAGATCGAAAGGATGTGTAGATCGGCCGCACCAGATACCGCAGAAGGGTTGCCTTGGACTTTTGTCTGTTGAATTGTGCGAAAAGAGCCTCGGCTCACAGTCCTTCGGCCCCGATGACTCCGTGCTGAGCCTCAGTCCGTCATGTCGTGGACAGCGTCAGAGTCAGAAAGCATTATTCGCGAGAGGTGACCTTTCTCGGTTTTATCCGCACAATTCAACAGACAAAAGATCAA